TTTTTATGAGGGGTACTCAACGTTACGAAAATTATAGAAGGGGTACACATATGTCAAAAGTTTGGGAAACACTGATATAAATTAACAGAATAAATAAAAGACAGGATCCTAGCTAAAACCTGGTCTAGTTACAATCCAGCCCTCCCCAAAGTCTGTAGGTACTCTTCCGAATACATCTCCCAGAATCCCCCAGTTAAAATGGCCATGGCTAAGAATGCTGGAAGTTGAACATCACATATCTGAATTGTTTTTAACACAATCAGGTATCAAGAAACCAGTTCCATGATTGGAAAGAGGAAAGCTTTCCCGTTTTTCCAAAAATTGAACGATGCAAAACTGAGGGGAGATGACATAAGAAGAGAGTTATCAAGAATCAGACGGGTACCTGTCACTATAAACGGATCGTTCAAAGAAAACCACAGCGTTCTCAGGTTCTTTTAGTTTCCCTTCAAGGGATTTGAGTTGAGCCCTGATTCTGCTTAGACAGGCGTAGGCTTGAAAAGTAAAGGACCATCTCTCCGGCTTCTCATACATCATTTGAAGAAGGTTTCCACCGCTCTTTTGTGAGGCTGTCAGCTCCTGTTTAAACATTCGTAAAAATTACGTAAGAATTAAAAATTGGCTTTGCTTTAATGATAGATTCATAAATTCTGGACACACCCTTCAATTGCAGAGTTGCCTATCGGTGTCATAAAACTTCTCTTAACATGGAATGCAGGAGCATGCAGTATCTTGTCCCTCCTCGGTTTTGTCTCAAAAATCTATTTCTTATGATGGCCTATTCCATATAATCGCTATTTATCATACCTCACAGTCATCGCGGCAGTCTTGAACATTGCACCATTTTTCCACTGGCTCTGGAACAATTTCCCATTCCTCTCGGGCTTTTTTGAGAATATTCACAAAGGTAGATTTACCTGCGGCTAAAGAAGAGAAGATACTCATCAAGCCAGTAAGATTCTGCAGTTGTCTTTAGAAATCACTTGAATTTGAAAAAGGAATTGAATTTACTGACTTAATTTCTATAGCCACCCACCACGAACCAAGTCACTCTGGGTGACAGAGCGTTTTTCAGGTGGGAATAGAACGTCTAAGCTCCCAGCCTACAGGTCTGATGAGTCATGCACTGGCCATGCCCACATCCAAGTGGCGGTTGGAACAGACTTCTTTTCAGGTGGGGAGGGGGAGTAGAACGTCTAACTCCTTAGCATCAGAGCGTGTTAATAATACTATAAGAAATACCAATGATCTGATGGTCATTTTGAAAAATCCTTTCTTAGCAAGCACCTAGAAGCCAAGAGGAACCTACATGCCAAATTTCAAGTTTGTAGGCTTTATGATTCTGGGGATTTCGGCTCAGTGCTTAATACAACTGCCTGATATGTAATACAGCCCGGGTTCGATTCCCAGTAAGGGTATGGCTAGCTGATGAGAGCTAAATAGCTTGAAATAGATCTATACTAGTCTCCCTTTATTTATTTATCAGCACAAATGCAACACAAATGTAACAAAGGCAACATTAAAAAAAATGGCTTTCGGCCTGGATGGCTCCTAGGGTGAGCCAAAAGACAGAAAAGGGAAGCAGTATGCTCCCTCCCATATTTGGGCATACCAGGGGTTGTGACACAATACATACATATACACATGTGTTATGGCCCGGCAGGAGCCGTTGGAACTGCTGCCAGACTCCGACAGCGAGGGGTCTTATGAGTCGGCCCTGGAGGAGGTGGAGGACCCTG